CTCAAAGCTTTTACAGAATATACAAACACTCGGGAAAAAATACACGTATGCGCAAGATCGTATCCGGAAAATTCTACATTCATGCGCGCGCTCACACACACACACACACACAAGCACACTGGCAAAAAGTCAGTGAGAGCGGAGGAGAGAAAACGGCGCGAGCATACAGGCGCACATACCCGAAGCATCGAAAACACTTACCGAGCCACGGTAAAGAGGCGAACAAAAATATTGTAAAACGAAGAAAAAAGTGAGCGAGAAAAACAACAAATAAATTGAGCACGCGAAAGGTGCAACTGAAGAGAGCGCACGAGCACGCGAGCCATTGATAATGGTAAAAGCGTTCGCCCTTTAGCCGCTCGATGATTTTCCGCTCTTCACCTCCTGCAGCCGCATGCCCCGAAAGGCCAAACAAGAGCAATGCGCGCTTTTAATCTGGAGGGGCTGGCCGGGGTCTACCCACGCGCACGCGCCCCAGTAAATCCGAGGCGATATTAACATGGTCGGTAGCGTCCCCTCGCGGCTTCCTGCACGTATGCGTTCGTTTATCGGTAGAAGTAGGTCGGCAGGATGCTAAAGGGATGGCAAATGCAGCCACTACGAAATAGAGCGATTGAGGCGCCGTGATTTCCTGGGCCGTTAACCATTCCCCGCCTCCCTCTAGTCCCTCTCGCTCTCATTCGGGCGAAGGTTGTCCTACGCGACGAAGCTTTGCGCACGCATTTGTGAAAGGAAGCACTCATCGGTCGCTGGGGACGATGAAAAGTCTAAGGCACACGTAAGCGGCAGGAAAAAAGTGTACGTTAGTACCCACCGACGGTCGGAATACCAAACGTTTACTTCGAATGAAGCTTCTTTCATGTAAATAAACGTTCTGAATATAAATTCCAACCCTTATCGGCATGTACATACTTTAACACCACCGGCCGTGTTTTATGGACTTATTACCGATGTTCTTTAAGGAGTGAATCTGCTTTGTATCACATCGATTTTCATAGCCTTGTTAATGGAACATAGAGGCTTCGATTCGGTGACGCAAAATTATCATTTGCGACTCGAAATATCGAAAGTATTGTTCAAATTTGATAACAGAAAAAAAACTTGGTATTCCTCCCTTTCGCGACAAGTTCTTCACGCAACGAATATTTAAACATGTATTTTTAAACTGAAGGGTAAGACCGACAATTTGAACTTATATAAATGTCAAATATGCGATACTATTGCCTGGATATATCATCTTTAAATTCAATATTTAAACATTACATTGATTTTACAAAGAAAGTATATTATGTAAACGAAATCGACAATGTACTTTAGCGTTTTCTATTTGCACTAGACAGACGTTTGATTTATCATTTACACATCATACACTTCACTGACATTCTATAATCGTTTATAAATATTACAAAATTTACCGAATCATAATAATCGTACACCTATTTTCTCCAGTTTTTCTTTCATTCTTTCTTTCTTTCTTTTTTTTTTTTTTTTTTTTTTTTTTTTTTTTTTTTTTTTTGCAAATAATTGAAACACCTTCGAATTACACGTTGGACGAATAGACGACAAAAACTCTAAACCCTTAAAGTCGTGTTTTTAGTTATTCTGAAAAATTCATAAGGGAGAAAAAGTTCGATTCAACCAAGATGAATCATAGGTAAAGCTTGCCCGCCGTACAATCGATATTCCCTCAGATTATTTAATCCCATTAAGGTCGGACGTCGTCGCTTCAACGTCAAAGATTCAACCGCGTTGCTACAATTTGGTAAATTAAAATGAAGAAAGTATGTAAAGAATCAGCAAAGTCTCAAAGCTCAAAGCAAGCATAGCAATATTGAACTGACTCTCCCAGAATTTCTCCTATTCCACGCGTATAAGGGGGAATGCCATGTACGCACCCACCTACACAAATGTATATTCTTATCCAAAGAGAATATTCCTCGTAGCAATATTATTCCGGTCAAGTAGCTTTCACTATAATGTACTTTACAAGACACAAGAAATATGCGGCACGGCAGGAGGCAGAACTATCCGAAAGTACAAGACGCGAGAATGAGTGGATGGGGTTGGGAGGGGGTGGACTTGTACCGTCGGCATCGGCAACACATACGTACAATGCATTTTATAAGATGAACAAATTCGCAAGATTCCCGACGAATATCTAGTGGCAAAGGCAACGTGGAACTATGTAGGGCTTTGTCTCTGAATACATCGGTATGAGAATATACTTTTTACTGGAAAAAACGTGAGTAGAGGATTATAAGAGTATGGATATTTCACGTTCGGTGCAATAATTCACCAAATCACAGTTGAGTGTAAATGATCGATTACATGAGTTTATTAATTAATTACATAGATATTAACTGTCGGTGTAATAAATTCTTTAATACATTTAATGATATTTATCCTTAGCCCTGATATAACATCGATAGAAAACGCATAAAAAAATGTGCGTGCGTGCGCGCGCGCGTGTGTGTAAACGAGTCGACGGTGCTGCTGAAACGTCAAATTATGTCAATTTAATGTCAATCGTCAGTGCCTAAGAATCGATCTTCAACTTCCCAGATCTCAAAGATCAATAATCAATGCAGGCCAGGGAAATAATAATTTTCTTAATAAAAAACAAATACAATGTTTCAATTTTCATACGGAAAAAGACTCTTGGCAATGAAAAAAAGAAAGAATAAGCTTTAGTCTAACAACACTGCTCGAAAGTACAGCAATTAAATAATAATCGAGCACTTAATCGATGAATCGTACATTACAAGCGAGATAAAGAAAAAGCCAATGAATATTTAATAGCGATCGATCTCTGCGCATCCGCTCCAAATATCTGTGCCAAAAGTCCGTTACTGTTAAAAAGCTTAAATAGCTTCATGCGAACACAAAAACATTAACCCCACATCAGCACCGAACCGAATAAACTATTGGCAACAGTTTTCTCACAAGAGCGACTATCGAGACGAACGAAATTTATTGCCATGGCTCGCGGCAACGCCACTTACTCTCCGCCGAAGCCGCCAATCCGAACTTTAATATCCGAACATCGTGTGTGGGCAACATGGTCATTACCGCGATGATGCGCCTTCGGTTAAACCAAGGTAATTCGCCCAGAACCTGAATAATCCAAGTCCCTGCCGCCTCGATGATCTCGAAAGCGATTTCGCTTCACTGACTTCAACTGCAACTGCAGCTGTATTTCGCCATTCTGTACTCGCGCTTCTTTCCCCGTTTTCCCAACGAGACGAATCCAATCCAAGTCCAAAGAATTATCCCATCTCACGTGATATTTAATTGCAACGAATATACGTGTAATCGCAATTCCTCCGCAACGAAGCCGATGAATTAGGTAAGAGCGGCGATATGCAATGTGTCGCTCACTTCGGCGCGTCGTTTAATATGAGGAAGCTCGGCTGTTTTGTTGACTGTCGTGGAGCTCCGTTGCAAAAAGCCGAAATTGAAACTTATGCAAATTTATTAGTTAGGTATTCGGAGAATATGTGCGAATTTTTGAAGATGCTTACGATGGAAATTTTGAATTACGAATGGAAATGTGAAAAGGAGTACAAATTGCGAGCCGCGGGAACTTTTTTCAGACTTTTGTGAGCAAGGAGCAAATATCCTATTATTACAATTTCCAATTATTATTGCAAGCCACTGTAACGAATTTATTATAATTTTCTCTAATTTTCGACGACTGTTTGAAATTAATTCGACATAGCGATGAGAATTATGTTGCTCGAGTAATGCGGGGAGGGCGAAGAAAATTGTTGCAACGTAAAAATATTTTTCTTCAAAAGTTTTCACCATACTATTGATTTGTTAATGTAAAGAAAATCTTGTTTTCTTCAAGATTCAAAATAAAACGTAGCTCACTTCTGTGAATCTTTATCAGAAAAGAGCGATATTTTTTTACGTTCCACAAATTTATGAGATAATTATATCGAAAAAGTTTTCACCGACCTTAAGAGATTCTTGTTGCCATAAAGCTATGTTTTTCTAGGTATATTGTAGTATAATATACGATAGCCGTTTATATAAATCATTTTTATTAAATATAAAATTTAACCAAAAAGCAACTTAGAAGCAGTACAACTAACTAAAGATAAAATAGATTATTAGGTTATTAAATAAAAATATATTATAAGATAATATTAAGATAAAAGTATTCTGGAAAAGGGAAACAATTTACATGAATTCATTTTCATTTTTGACCAAATATTTCATTCAGACTTTCAATTTTAGTGAACAAAACAATATAGGAAATTAGGAGCTCATTTTAATAATTGAATTTTGTACTACAAATGAAAGAATCGTTAACGTAATTATTTAAAATAAAATTTTTTTTTTAATTTTAAACATCCCAATTTACACAATATTATATTTCAAAATTTATAATGCTAGTATCATAATCTCCATAACCAATTACATTTCGATTATAACAAAAAAACTGTTATCCTATACTCCACACAAATGTGTTTATAAAATTTTATTTATTTTAACTCTTCATTAAATTCACGTTGATTCAGCACGACTTATCATACTTTCAAAATATTTTCTACTACTCAATAATCTATTTGTCATATGCTGAGAGAATATGACTGAAACAAATAATTAAACGGACGTGACATCTATTTAAAGAGTGGCAAAAATATTTTTCCTTCTATTATATTATTAATATACATCTACTGCGACGAGACGTGGTATTAACCGAATTTGGTCAGACTTGAAAATAAAAGTGAATTTCACCAACTCTAACCGTACTCAGTCCAGTTTTCCGAATTTCTCTGAAATGAACATGTAACGTTCAAATTTCGTCGCATGAAACTAAATTCACAGCTGTAACACATTATTATTTGCCTGATCCTTCCTTCGATCAACAACAATAAAATTAAAAAAAATTCCTATGACAAAAATACCTATACCTTTTTCATGCTACATCGGCTTAACAAACTACAATTATCTTATTATCCTGGCACTCAATACGTTTTCTATGGTTTCAGATCACGTGGATTGACGGCCTGGGCTCAGTATTAAATACAGGCATTGAGACGCAAAGCATACCGTACGAGGACGGACCGCTTTACACCGTCAAATCGATCCTCACTGTGACGCCACGCAAGGAACATGATAACACCACATTCACTTGTCAAAGTCAGAATCTCGCTAATAGCGTACCACAGAGCGCAAAGCTGCGTGTCGAAGTAAGTTTTCATGGCGCACATAAGCGGTCGCGCGTATTGATGGCCGCGGTGTGGCTCTAACCACTATTGTGCTTCTCATACGAAAAAAGTCGAATGATGAAAGTCAAAGATTCAGTGGTACATGAAATTTCGTACGATTGTAAAATTCGACTTATTTTGTAGTGGGACTGTGTCAGGTCCATTGGTGACGTAATTTCACAATAACATTTATTGGACTTTACTTTTGTGACAACGATCTCTCGATTTCTGACTACTTACTTCTATTTCTAATATATCGCTTATAGATATTATTAGCGTGTGCCTGTAGGGGAAAAGAAACATCGCCAATCTATGAAATATAACATTTGATAAAGAGAGAGATAGATAGATAGATAGATTGATTGATAGATAGATTGATAGATAGAGAGAGAGAGAGAGAGAGCGAGAGAGAGAGAGACAGAGAGAGAGAGAGGGGATTAACTTCCTTAATAAGTTAAATTGGTTATTAATTTCAAATAATTTTGAGTAGCTCATAGTTTTAGAAATAATCGTCATTTCGTTTAATTATATAGCGATTAATGAACGATATAAGCATATCGGTTTAAGCACACTTGGAACTTTTAAAACGAAATTGATCCTTTCCACACAATGTGAAATTATTAATTAAATTTAATTAGATTATAAAGTCCGAAAAATCCGTTATAAGAAAAATTTTTTATAAAAAATAATAGAGCTATACAATATACTGGCTAATTATCCAGTGATTAATCGTCTTTTCCGTATAATCATTTAATAGACAATACAACGAGTTATGCAGCAATGCGAATTATTATATCGTTGTGCCAACACAAATCAATTGCAAACAATCTCGATTCAGTCATCGCACAATCAATTAAGGATTTGGCTATCTGCAAAAGAGACTCTCAGTCTATTAATGAGCGCATACATAGACACAGTATTGAAACCTGTCAAATTCGACAGGCGCACGCGCGCGTAAAAAGTAAATCCCCTATGAAAAGTCGCGTGCAGCAAACGAACGAAAGCAAATCAAAGCGAACGGGCAGGAGAGAGATGGCGAAGAAAGGAAAAAGCAAATGGAAAACCTATTGAACTTTGCACTCTCGTTAAAAATATACGGAGTTATATTCGGCAGTGAAATCTACATTGTCGGGATCTTTAAAAGAATGAGAGTCACAATTGCGCATTCGGCTGATCCAAAAGCAAAAAAGATAAAATAATTTCAAGAAGTGTCTAAAAATGTGCTCGATTAAAAGTCATAGCTATATTGAAATTATTTCGAGTCTATTGAAAAATTTCGAGTAAAGAAAGTTTAAAAAGAAAGTTGAATAACTTCTGTGCATACAAAATGGTAGCACGGCTGTACCTTTAATTTTCTCCTCTTTTCTTTTATAATGGCTTACATAATCGACCGTAAAACAATAAAATTATTAAAACTATCCTTTAAACTTGCATGGAAATTTCTCGTATTTCGAGTTTATTTAGCAAATGCTTAACCTTCGCCATTCCTAAAGCATTTTAATTATTAAAGGCTCAAATGCAGTTGTATAGCTCCGTCCATAGTTTAAAAAATTGATCGGGAAAGAAAGCCTTTGCGCTAATAAAAAATAAAGCGCAATAAGCGCGATAAAAACTCAAATAAGATTTGAGCTAGTCACGTCAGTTAATTATTTCTCTCCACACAGAGTCGTATATTCTCCCATCTAAGTCGACAAGAATATTTCGTTCCGTCATCCCAATTCTCAAGATGACCCATCTCCCAATATATACACACCACCTCTTTACGTGTATCGCGGGGCCACGTAGCCATTCGTTCAGTTCTCTCTTTTTCAGTTCGTTTGGTTTGAAAAAAAAGACCGAGAGTAAGAGAGAGAGAGAGAGAGAGAGAAAGAAAGAGAAAAAGCACGGGGACAATGATGGGCGTGACAAACAGGGGAAGGGGAAGAAAGTGCTACACGCTCGGAGCCTGCCAAACAGAGTTGTGAGCATACACGAAAATAGCGAACTTTGGCGCTAACGAACATAGTGTGTATCGGTATACATACGTTTACGGGGGAGATTTTCTATCTCTTTCCGTGCACTCTATCTTCTCTCGATCTTGATGTCTTTCCGCCGTTCTCCTTTTGTTCCCCCTCCCCAATCACCTCGCGTTCTCTCTCTCTCTCTCTCTCTCTCTCTCTCTCTGTCTCTCTGTCTCTACGTGTGTGCGCGCTCTTTGCTCTTTCGTTCCAGCGAGCTTCACGGTACCAAGGCACTTTTTAAACTACTTTGTATTCCTGTCCAGGTCCGTTACGCGCCGAAGGTTTCGCTGAAGATTTACCGGGGGCTTTCGCAAAACGAACGGATACGCGAAGGATCGGAACTTCGATTCAAGTGTCGTGCCGAGGCCAATCCACCTGACATGAAGTACAAGTAAGTAACGCTAAATTTATTTAAACAAGTGTAAGCGCATCCTACTGCTTGCAACCGTGTGCATTGACACGCGCGTGCGCATACTTATTAGCACATGTGCGACAAAGCTTGTCTCTGCGAATTCAGCGTGTCAGTGACGCAGAGTATCGGCTGATTTTTATGTGATATCAAATAGATGTTTTGACTGTTAATTTTAAGCTAATTTTAAAATAATGAATCGCTTTTCTGAATTGCGGGCAATTATATTGGTAGTAGAAAAAAAGTTGTCGATACGTTTGCCTACGCTTGTTGAGTTTTTAATTAAAAAAAAGTGCTCGATCAATTGGCAAAATGATCACTATTTTTGAAAAAGAATTGAATTTGTAGGTATTCAAACATTATAATTAAGTGAGCTTTGTAGCTTAATACAAATAAATTCCTTCTTTTTAACCAGATTAACATGCTAAATTTGATTAAACATGCAATTATTGATATAAATAAGTAAATGTCTTTGTATAATCATTGATTAAATGTAGCATTTCATAATACAATTAAAAAATTCCAAATTATCTATTATAAAAGTAGTAGCCCAACATATGACATTTCATTAAAATTTACCTATCGAGTATCTGAAAAATTTGTAAAATAAATTATGAGAAACAAATTAAGTATCGTTATTTTATACAAATTAACATAAAAATTTAAAAAATGTTATGTGAAAGGAGAACAATACAATATTATTTTCCAAACATGAACTACATTTATATATACATGAATTCTTTTCATCTTGAAGCACTTGTTTCTTAATGAAGTCGTCGTTTAATTTATTGTATTTAATGTTGTAGTAGCACACATATTTTCTCCACGAACTCCGAATTGAAAATTAAATTCCGACTACTTTTATGCAAATTAATGTTTGTTTGTATTGAACAGTAAATAACAGTCCACGAATAATATATAAAAGACCGAGTGGAAGTAGAGTGGCAAACAATATCGTAATATAATTCCAATAATTTCACAGTACAATTGCAGAAGAATGAGACGGAATCATTATTCTAATAAAAAAGGAACTTTCCCTTTAAATGTAGCTCTTTACTTGTTCCCACCAATACTTTTAATACTCTCCAATATCATTCTTTCCTGTTTTCAAGAAGTGAATAAAGTTTGGTGAAGAACATCCAAGAAAGTAATAGTTATAATTATTTGCGCTGTGGGAACTGTTTTCACTTCATTGTATATTCATTCCTTTCAATTTTGTTTTCTTCAATTTTCGTTATTACATACTATTTCATCTGAGGCTCTTAATAATAAAGATATATATATATATATATATATATATATATATATATATCCTTAAATCTTATATAATCATGTAAAAGTTGTTTTAGTTATAATATAAAAAATTCAATAGCTTGTACAAATATTTTTATAAAATATGAATACGATCGAATTGATTCATCAGCGCACACTAGTTTATTTCAACTAAAAATGGACATTTATACAATAAATGTATATATATTATATTTAATATACGGTAATTCTAAACGAAATCTTCTTCATTTTTTTAACGATTAAATATAATAAAAAGTTTATTTTTTTTGTCTTCTATCTAACTTAGGACAATTAGATGCGATATTTTAACAAATATTAGGAACTTCAAGATTGCAAAATCTCTAAGCACATATAATTTTCAACGTTTATTAGCTTATTACTTCCAACATTAAATATTTATCCGCTTATCTTAATATTTATACATTTATCTGTTAAATGGCAAAATTTTTCTATAAAAAATAAATAAGAAGCCATAACAAATTAATAAGCAATCGAGAAAATTTTCCACATAAAGTATTTCGTTGTAAAATAAATGCTCTGATTGATAATCTGAGAGACTCAACAGTTTCCAACATTCATGCCTTCGAGAACCTCACGTATTGCCACGATAGTTTAAGGCTATACAAAGAAAAATATAAAAAAAAAAAAGTAAAAATATAACTGGTTCCTGCGTACATGAAATTTCAATAAATTATTGTCAAGAGGACATTATGAAAATTAAACTAAATTGTTTGCTATATACAGTATTTGTTTTGTATTGATCCTGATTGCTAATCTCTGATATCTGTGAATGAGAGCGCAAAGAAAGGATGAGGTAGAGAACGAAAAAGTAAAAACTATAGGCATTAGTGCCGTTATTTACAAAATACTTACAAATAAACTAGAAAATACGATGTTTTATATGCACATTAGGAATATGCCAGAGCCTATTAGCCTATTAACCTAAGATTCGTTTATTTCTCATATTTTCTCTCTACTATTCCAATGCTCGCAACCTCTCTCTCTCTCTCTCTCTCTCTCTCTCTCTCTCTCTCTCTCTCTCTAATCTATCATTTTTATATACCGATTTATTTTATATAAGCGAGGTTGCATGTGTAGAAATAAACGACTGAGAATAAAATAAACATTACTAGACAATTCACATTATTTATTTACGTAAACTAAATATAAGGTTATTTTAATATTATCTCACTCCATGCTGTGTTAACGTAAAAGAAGCTCGAAATTTAATCGTAATGATTATCCATGAAGGACTTCGCTCGATTCCCAACGCTTAAACAAACTAAAGAATTTTCTGGTGAAACAAGCGATTATGACCTCAAGGGAATTTATTTTTAGTAGAATTCGATTCGATGGCTAATATTGAAATTGAATAGTTTCTTTGGGGCAAAGTATGAAAGAGGTTCTCATCCGATAATCTAATCGAAATTATTATTCTTGATGTACTGAAATTAGACGGGAAAAGAAATTATATGTCTGAAAAGCTAAAAAATTAATGATAATTTATTTGATTTTATTAGGAACGGAATACTGAGAAACGAAAATCCAACTTTTCAACAAGAGTTGAGAATAAGGTTGAAATCGATATACCTAAACTCTCATTACTATTCTCGACAACTTAAATTAATAAAGGAATAATAACAAGCACAGGAACTTTCAAAAGTTAATTATTTTATTTAAGATAATATACAAATAATATTATAAAATAAATACTTATTACTAAAGAAATAAGATAGTTATTGATGGATTTTCGGTAAAAGATAAAAATAAAATTAAAAAAAAAGGTAACCGTTTGTAAATTGGTCAGAATTTACAAAAGATCGAAGAGATAAGAATATTTCAACAATATTTATCTATATTTATTTTAAGTAGGTGACTTTACGTGAAAGCTAATTATAATTTGTAAAATTCAGGAATAATTGTTGACTAACAGGACATTGTCAATAGAAATTAATAATATAATGAATAAAAATTTTCATCTATCAAATAACAAATAACAACGGTTTGCAATATTTTCGATAAAGCATTGTAAAATATTAATTTTCATTGGATTTAATAAAATTTTTTTTTTTATTATTACTTATTTATAAGGCATACGGTGATATTTATGAAGGATAAAGTAAAGAAAATCATGCTCAAACGAGACTTTATATTCTGATGAAATTATTTATTGTTTGCTAATGCTAAATTCATAATCTTCAATAATCTGTCATTGGTCGGCCCTTTTTTTACTTTTCATATGCTATATTCTTTTTCTGCTTGTACATACCTCACTCTCCTTCCATATATATATATATATATATATATATATATATATATATATATATAGATTCTTAATATCTGTATTTTATTTGCTACATACCCGGTGTTTTTATATGACATTTAATACTATAAGTCACTATAACATTATCAGTTTGAATGTACGTAATTGTTTAGCTGAGGAATGCAACCGTAAAAGCCAAATGATCACATAAACATTTTAGCCGATTGTTCCCTAAACTCCACCCACTCACCACTGAATAATGTTATTCTGCGTAACTTCTTTTACTAGATGGTACATAAACAATAATCCGGCCATTGTCGACCATATGACTGAGATGGTGATCCACAATGTGACCCGCGAGTATCATGACGCAATCGTCAAGTGTGAAGTGTACAACGAAGTCGGCAAAAGCGAGGAGACGAAAACACTGGACGTAACCTGTGAGTATTGAGGGAAAGAAAACAAAAGGAATAATCAGCAAAACAATACATCACTCTTTGTTTTTGACATGAGGGTAAATGCTGGGGGCACATGCGATACGACAATTAGCCTGAGGGTGAATGGACAATGAATTCCAATAATCATAGATTGGCTCAAAGACGTTAATTAAAGCCTATCGAAGTCGTAGTTCCCGTATATATATATATATATATATATATATATACGATCACATTCTATGATATTGGTTTTCATTACCTTTTATTTTTAAAAAATTTCACTCCTCTGAATATGCATACATGGAATAAAACTTTTAACTTTAAAACTAATAATTTTAATAAAAAAATCTTACTAATGTACACATTACATGTTGTTATTATCGTTTTTTTTTTACAATTTATAAATTTAACAAACCCGAGTGCTAATATCTATATCTTTGTAAATAAACACTTAATCGACACGAATCACAATATTATCAGTTCGTCAAATGAAGATCGTTAGTTTTCTTTATTTTTCATTGGAGATACATATTATAATCCCAAGAATGATTAAATTTTCTTTCATCTCATTGTTGCGAAAATAATTTTACTTTTCAATTTAACTTCTTAAACTCTTCACGATTTAAATTCTTTAAATTTAACTTTAGATACATATTTTGCACTTATTATTTTATAATTTCACTACCGTTATTAACATTCAATAAAATATAATTATTTCACCTAAATAATATTTTATTACAAATATTTCATCTACAAATGTAATTTTAGTACCTTTTATTTATTGCTTTATTTTTTTAGAAATCTAAAACAAATATATAAAGAGTAATTATAAGGAATGTAAAAAGTTTTATAAATAATTCTTTTTAATCCATACAATATATAATAATTATCTGCTATCGTTTATTCTTATATTAATGATATTAATGCGTGAAAATTTTATTGTCAGCTATCAAAATAATAGTGCACAATATTTAATTTTATATTTTTCTCTTTTGTTTGAACGACACTTCCGTATGTATAAATATTTAAGAAGACATCAAAGCTTATCGTGTAGTTTATAATTTATGCATAATTACACATTTAATTAAATATATTTATCAATTGTATGAAGAAAATCTGATTTAGTTTTGTATATATGACTAGTAATATATTTGATTTATGTGCAAATTATTTGCAACAATTTTCTAAAAAATCTATAACAATATATTTTAATAAAATACTGAAAAAACTTGCGAACAAAAGTTTCATTTTATCATTTAATTTGGTAATTCCTTATGATTACTTGTATATTTCTTGTTTTTTTTTTTTTAATATAAATTAATATTTCAACGTGACTAAATTCTTATTAAAATAACCTAAGTATTATCGATCGCATCACATTATATTTATTCTATTTGTTAACAATTGAGCATATGACAATTTATCAAAACTGCCCTCCATTTACACTAAACATGCAAGATCCTGGAAGTCGCCATTTTACATATCCAAGTATCTATATTTCTATTATATTATATTAAAATTCACCATCGCATAGAAGTACGTGCTATTCGACTTTATTGCCGTGTATATTGTATGATTAATAATCTTTTTATACTTACTTTTATATTAGTAATTTCGATATTATATTTTTCGTTGTTTAACTCTCAAAATTACACAATTAGTTTTTCGAATCTCATTTTTATTCGATATTTCGTATTGATATTATATTTAAACCTACTATTTTACCATTACACTAATTTTTAATATTCTCTGTAAATATTATTATGGTCGTAAATATTTAATGTACCTGAAACTGACCCATTATAATGCTTATCTATCACAATAATCTAATTTTTAATTTTCTATACTTGCAATGTAGATTTTCCTATGTCAATTATTGTCAAAATGTAAAATCCGCCTTAAATATTCCGATTATTTTAATGACATATTTTGTATACATTGTTTTTACTTATTAATATTTTACACACTTCTAAATATTTTCATAAATTATTTCTCATTTGTAAATTATTCGTCGCACTTTTATATCACATAATTTATCTATTAATTGAAAATTCATTGTAATACAACAATAGTAACTTTATCGATAGCCGTAAATTCCTTATAAGTTTTATATTGATAATATTACTCATTTAAATCTAACTAATAAAATAATGAAATAGATTAGTTATCATTAAATAAAATTGAGCAACATAAATATTGTTATATTCATCGTCATGTCAAAGAAAATTAGATGAAAAAAATCAATTATTGTGAAATTATACCGTTTCAAATGAAATAATCTTTTTTCATTTTTATTATAACAATTCATCATTCTATGATAGAAAATTTCAATTTTTAATTTCAACAATTAATTAAATTGTCTCAATATTAATAAAGTTTCCATTCAGTAATTCAATATTCATATTCTAAAATTACCGTACTTAATGTAGTATTTTGTGAACGAAATTTACACTTCAATAAATTTGAAAAAAAAAAAAAATTTTACATAAAAAATAATTTAATTTAAATATATTACACTCAATTAGTTGAAGCCTTTAATGCATATTTTTATTTATATAAACCATACTTTCAGCATTACATTATATAAGGATGTATGTGTATTTCATAATGATATATTCGTATATTCGTATATTCATCACAATTTTAAATGACATTTTCTCTATATTCAAAGATTAAAAAAGAACAAATAGTTTTTATTATTTAAATATTATTAGTAGTATAGATATTCGATTTAACAATTTAATATACAATTTATCATTTAATAGTGCAATCATAATCATATTTCTTAAATATCGTTTCAATACTATCGTTCCGATATTTCGTAATATAAATAATTTTCAGTACAATATCTTAAAGTTTCTTTATATTCTACGTCGAGTTCTCTTGATATTGCATTTCATAAAGTTTATTCCATTTCAGTTACGGCTCTCGAAAAATAATTAAACAAAAATTTTAACAAAATCTTTCTCGAACTTCTTCCTTTAATTTAACTTTACAATGCATCACAGTGTTTATTAAAAATAAAATTAAAAGAAAATAATAAAAAAAAAAAAAACAGAACTCCAACAATACAGTGACATGTATATTTATCAAAAATTAAAATACTTGATATTATAAAAAATCTTTTGGTTTAAGTTCAATGAGCCCGTTGTGCTAAATTGCGTAATGACGTTGAGCCTTGCACAGCGCATTGCATATAAATAATCAAATGAAAACAAAATATAAATTTACCGAGTCTTCATGATTGAAAGATCAATTTTAGAATATTAGAAATAATAGAAAAATAATTGAAATAATTTTTGTAATAAGAAAAATAATCTAATTATTATAAGGCACATCAACTAACCAAGCTGAATTAAGTGTAAATATATTTTTCATTAATTATTTTAAATATTGGAAACTGGTATTAATCAATAATATATATACACACACAATTAATACACATAATTACACAATACACAAAATTAAAATACTAAAAAGATAATGGTTAAAGTGAAAAGCTATTTCAAACCAGAAATGCTTAAAGGATATGTTAAACATACTCTATAAAAACTATTTATTATGACAATAACTTAAAAAAAAAAAAAAAAAAAAACATGTTTTCAATTAATTTAATTTGTTGATTTAAATAAAATGTTGATGGTATTTATGAGTTTTACAGCGAAATAGGGATTTGTGTTTCATTTATAAATAATATATTAATTTCAAAATAATGGCAAAACTTTGTATTCATGTAGTAGATATCAAATAGCACTTTGATAGATTAGTAGTAATATTGTTCAACCGGAATGATAAACTTTCACAAGTATTCACAGTGCTGGCGAATGTATTGGTTGAAAGTAAAATAAATATTCAATGATGACAAAGCTGATAAAGCTGTCGGATACGGTAGAAGCCATGAGATACAAATAAAGCAACGAAGACTTTTCGTTAAATTCCTTTGACAAGCCGATCGTGCAGCCCCCGCGGAATCAGGCCCTAATACACAAAAGAATAAAGAACGAATGAACGAAAGAATGAGAGAAAATGGTAAGGGGGAAGCGACGGATAAGAAAAAGAAAAAGAGAAAAAGTGAATAAAGCCTTTGAGAAGGCCCTGGCGAAGGCTTCCAATCGAAGCCAATGCCGCACAAACAAACTTCCAAGGAGAAAAATGCCAAGAGTCCTTTTTTCTTCAGATGGACCGAGGTTCCGCTACCCGCCCACGTCGGTGCAGTCGCACTACGGGGCCGCGGAGATCCTGCAGTGTGACGTGGACGGCAACCCCCAACCTGAGATATATTGGACGCACGAGGACTCGGAGCGCATCCTCGCGACGGCCTCGAACATCAGCGTACTCGTGCGACCGGAGACAGCAGGGCGCTACTACTGCCACGCGCGCGTCCCTGGCTTCCCCGAGCTCACGGGCTCGGCCAATATCTACATCAGGGCGCCGCCCACCATTATATCCCAGAGGACGCAGTACGTGCCGGACGAGGGTCTCGTGAAGGTACGATTAGAGCCGACCTCTCGAATTTACGGATCCGCTCTTTCATTTGGCCGCAATTATTGAGGGATTCGCGGTCGGCGCCGGCCGATGTCGGAAGGGAACAGACTCATTAGCCCCCGCCCTCACTCCCTCGTGTTCACATTACTCGAACCACTTATGGGGACAATAAGTGCCTGTTACGATATAATGCTGAAAACGCGCGATCTAGCGATGACGATGATTTTTAAGGATCATCATCGCAGTCTACATCCATTTTCTTAATTGTGCATACATAATTAACTTAGCGAAAAAGCATAAATATTCTCTGACCCTCGTAAGCCCTCCATGTTTCATCTTCTCGTATTTGTAAAGTCAAACTTTTTTGGACAAACGACTGCAAGTTTTAATTATTGTACGATTAAGCGTAACTGAAACGCATTAATTTAGAATCAGAAGCCATTAAAGTTTTACAAAATAACGAGGCGCTCTCGTAAAAGTGATTCGACCAAATGGGAAAATGTCGCGACAATTTTTACATTACGATGGTTTTAAGAGAAAATATCATTGCAAAAGCCAAATTCAGCGGAGAATTCATACAAATTGCACTAAATGTACGTGCAAAGTTGGCATGCAATTGGACGATCGGATAAAAGTTTCGTAATTCGGTTAAACCACCCTTTAACAAGTCTTAGAAAATCTATTTTACGGCCTAGTGATACAATGCTTCGCTTCCAATTGAATCTAATGCGCCTCGCACAAAGACGTTTAAAATCCATCGCAATATTATTTCTAGAATAATTAAATCTCACTGTGGAAAATAATACGTAACTTGTTAGCTATCTCGCGAAAAAGTGGAAAACATCAAAGAGCGGGGCTTATATTAGTTGGGAAAAGCCGCGAGCAGCACGAGAGCCTGGACGTCCCAATGGGGTTGTAAGCCCTGGTAATGAATGATAGCTGTATGAGGTGATTGATGAGGGGGAGGGGGGGGTAGTAGCTGACTGGTGGGACGTGATGAAATGCCAGTGCCGCTCGAAGTTGGCGACAAATCGCCCTCCTAATTGAGACAATTTTCCGATAAGCTTCTAGCAATAAGTAGTTGCGTTAGTTTGGAATAGGCCTGAAGAAGGCGCGTATCCGCCGTTTATTGAATCCCCGACGTATTCATGAACGGTTCTTGGCGAATAAAAGAAGAGCAATATCCGATTGCGCGATCGAAGCGAAACAAAGAGTCACGGTAAAAGCGTAGCCAGTTCAGTATCCCTCAAGCGACGCGAAAAATTGCTCGAAAAATATGAAATTCCGTAGGAGGAGGAGGAGGAGGATGAGGAGGAGGAGGAGGAAGGAGGAAGGAGGAAGGAGGAAGAAGGAAGAAGGAAGGGGGGAGGGGGTGGGGTGGAATAAGGTCGGGAATAAAAAAGCAGCAGCGTCAGTAGTTGTAACAAACGATGGATTTTGTTTTCCACAGGTGCAGTGCACCGCGATATCCGTACCAATGGCGGACTCGGTGGTATGGAACTTCGGTGGACGTGAGCTCAATTTCTCGTCGAATAATAGCCGCTTCTACAGGCACGAGGAGTACGAGCCGGAAAGGGTCGTCAGCACGGTCACACTCCTCGATCCAGTTCCCATTTATTTCGGCGATTACAATTGCACGGTGACCAATGCCTACGGCACGGACTCCGCTGTCATCAAGCTCACGACCTACGGTAAGTTGGAGCGAAGACGTGGTTCGCGCGCTCGAGAATCTCCCTCGGGGGATAAGAGCGTAAGGTGGTGGGTTTCCCTACTGGCCCTTTCAGCATGGCTATTATTATTTTTCCGATGGCTGTTACGTGACCGGTCCGAGGTCCAGTTAAGTGATTCTTTCTCCGGGTCGAGGCTTGAATCCCGACTACTGTTAATCCTTTCCGATGGGGGAGAGATTCGGCTGCTTCATTGGTTCTCACGCACATCCACTGTATTTGCAAATTTATTTTCCTCAATATCGGCATCGGGGCTTCTTAATACGTCGATTGGATAATGATCGACGACTTTATTATACGGCGGTTGATAATTGATTTGTAGAAGGGAATGGAAGAGCAGATATTACTATATAGAAGGCAAGCTACTTTTGTCCTATAAAGTATTGAATTTTATTAATGCATAATGGAACTTTGGAGAAAGGAAGTAGTGCGCCAGGATGTCTCGGATAAATATCCAATTTATGTATATATATATATATATATATCGTGACGTATTTTCTTCCATTGTCAGCGGTATTTATTTATTTAAGCAATAAGTACATATAAGCCCTTAAGGATGCGAAAAGTATCAGTCGGCTATGGTTGTCGAGCTTTACGGGTGTGCGGGTATATAAAGTGTTATTTGTTTTTCATTTTCTTCTCTATTCTAAAGGCATTATTATTGCTCGGTAATAGCTTCATACCATGAAAAGGCCACAATTAAAGAAAAATATGATCTCAGGAATATTATGATAAGAGTATTTGCGACTTTGCTGCCTCCTATACTTTAACTTCAACTATTAATGTGGCATCTTATTTAATTCCTCGCCAATAATATTTGCACTGGCTGAGTAAGTGTATCTTTTAAATTACTTCACTGAGCTGCATAAATTTTCAAGTCGCCATCGGTCTCGATGAGAAATTTCATATTGATTAAATGTATAAAAATGTAAATTCTGCTCCAGATTGTACTTTATATTGGAATATAACTTGTATTATTCAAGTTTCCGGACTAACGTTTAGATGCAAATTTCGTCGTCCGTTCAAATTTCGTTAATAATAATGCAGATAAGAAAGAGCAAGGTTATTAACATTAATTAATTAGAGTAGTCGTTGATGTTTAAAAAAAACTCGGAAATTGAAGGCAAACTTTTCCAATCTAAAGATGCTTTCTCAATAAATTTGTACAATATTGATATGTATCGAGTGTTTTCATGGCTACGTCAATTGATAAAATAATAATTTTAGAGTGTGGAAATACGTTTCCAACAATTCCATAAACATCACCAACGTTCAACTTATTATCTCTGACATTTACAAATCGTAATACACATGCTCTACATCGATAAATAGCATCGATATTTTTCAACTACTCGTTAAAGAGTGCTAATGAAATAGCTTGCGGCTCTTAAAACCTCCAAATATCAACTTTTAATAAAAATTATCGGCTACCGATCGATCACGATCCATCAACCCTCCAATTAATATACCAAGCGTGAAAAAGAATGTAAATCCGAAAATCTTAAATGATGAGCCACGAGAGCAAAATCGCCTCGATCGATTCTCTTCTATCTGATCAATGATTATCATTATTCCACGTTAAGAAAGGAAAGGAGCGACCGATCAATCAAATAAAAGTTTTATCGGTCGCCGTCACGGAGCTTTTGATAATCATTAGTTATTCGGAAGCTCGTTTGCGCAAGCGCATTTCACGTCTGCATTCCCCTAATCTCGTTTCTCACTTCGACTTATCAAATTATCCTTGGACTGTTGCGTTTGCCTCTTGGTCGAGTAGAGTAAACAATGGGGCGACAGATTAGCCCGAATGCGCTTGACGACGTCAACCGCATCGTCATCACGGGGTTATCGAATAGTCGATCCCCTCCACCCTGCCCCCACACTAGCATCCACTACGTAACATCTTCCCCGTGAAATTCTTTACCGAGCTCTTTTCTATTTGCCGAAGCTCACATCCGGTGTGCGATACTTACTTCATTCGCACGTGCTTTCTGACGCTGATATTTACGTCGTCGATTTCGTCTCTTCTCGCGACTTCTATTGAAATTTACTATCTCCCATCTCCATTACCGGAATTTCAATTCTCAAATCTCCGTTTCGAGGATGTTTATAAAACAAGCACTTATGAAAGGAACTCGAATGCTTGAATGAGCCACCTGAGATGTTGCCGCAAGCTCTTTATCTTACAAATATATTTAAACAGTTTCCATTAGTAGGGATATTTCTTATTGCAGAGCAAAATGTCCGTTTAGTTCTGCGCCAATGAATGAGAGCCAATGAAGTACGACTAATACGGAGATTTAACTATTCGATAAATCAAAAGATATGCGCTATAGCATTTTCTAAGGTTCGCGTCCTAAACGACGATTCTAGCTTAATACACGTATTTCTTATTCTTCTCCTTCTTTTTCTTATTTTTGGTTTTTGTTTTTTTTTTCGTCTCTTTTGTCATTTTTCATTGAGTTAATTACTTGCTATTAAACTGAGCGTGACGCTTAGCGTTGATTCCAGTCGATTGGCAGCTCATCCTGATCATCATCGGACTCGTCGTCTGCGTCATACTCATTGGCATCATCGTCATCCTCATTTTGCACTGTCGGGAACGTATCAAGCAGCCGCAGCCAAAAGTTGCTCAAGCCCACGACAACGACATGCGTAAGTATAAGTTTGAATAACCGTATTTGTTTATTATTTCGTAACTCCACTCGAGGCTCTTCTGTCGCTGACTGGGATGGCAAAAATTTTTGTTTATTAACGCGAAGCCGAGGAGATTCGTTTTTTTTTTTTTTTTTTTATAGTGCAGCTTCAATCTTGAAAATGATATTGAGCGATTAAGAATATTTCGAAAAGTTTTCAAAAATAGTGTGTAACACTTGTTACTCGTTTAAATAATTTGATGAAAGCAAATTTATCGTAAAGAATAATAATCGTAATGTGGAACGACAATGCTTCTTTAAAGTTTCCCTCGATTAAATTAATCCTAAATTTTATCATTATTTTCTATTAATAATTTCTTTATATTTTCAATTATTAAAAATATAACGATGTCAAGATACTTTTTGAAAAATTAATGTAAAATTATACGTAATGAGCGTGAGTTTATTTTCAAAATATCGAAATTATTCCGATCGTCTTAAGAATTAATCGCACCTTAAAGCTGACTGATATTTCTGCAAATCCAATTAGAATCATTATTCACAAACTTCTATTATTAATGATAGATCAATATTTTGTCTGGGAGAGTAACATTGATATATTTTGCTGGAATACTAAGCAATCAAACTTCCAAGACTTGCAAACATCATCGTTTTATAATGAATACATCGAGAAAAAATAAATACAACAACAACAACAACAACAATAATAATAATAATAATAATAATAATAATAATAATAATAATAATAATAATAATAATAGTAACAATAATAATAATGATGATAGTAATAATGATAATAATGATGATTTGTCAGAAATGACGCGTTTGTCAACTAATGAAGTTAGACGTATGAAATCATGAAAAATCACAATTAAATGAATTTTACACTCGTACCTAAAATATAATGATTGTAACAATTCCTTCGAGTAACCATTAATTTTGCAAATGTTTGTTATCTATTTAAATTTTAATTGAGAATGATCATACCGAGTAATTTAAATAACGAAAATGCACGAAACAATGACCGATAATTGGGACGTGTGCGCCACAGATATATCATTTAGTGATTTATTAAATTTAATGTGATGAATTAGATTCAATAATTTAATGGCATACGCGTTCAGCAAAAGACAAAATTATATGTAAAACGATCGGCCTCGTCGATAAATTTTATCTGGATTTTAAAAATTATTAATACGACATGAAAATAAGAAAGCATTAATCATATTGTAATCGCGAGCACGCGATCGCATTGAACTCCATATTGCCTACTTTCTCTCATTATCTTAACATGCACGGTTACGTGGAATCGTTACACCTTGATTTCGAGCGTTCGAAAATTCGCTTACAAGGACCAAATTGACCCGGATCAACGACAACGGCCATCACTGAGATGTAATACAAGCAACGGTTGTACATTGCAATAACTGATTCGCGCTCGACGCAGTTATCGCTGATCAGCTCCTCCATCTTCGTCCACATTTACTTTTTTCCCTCTGCTCCCGCACATCCGAACCCGGCCACCTCCACACAGACATAAAAAATAATCGACCTCAGCTTCCACACTCCCATCTCACTTCCCTTTCCTGTCCAACAACCCATCCTTCTGCCTCCTCATCGTCTACCCATTGCCCTCGTAAAGCACGCACATAGATACGTACGGACGTACGTAAAGAGGGACGGATGGCAGAGGGGCAGGTGGAAGGGCGCGGACATTTAGCGAAACAAAAAACCGAGCCCCGAGATGCCATAATGGAACGTACGTCAGGCGGCAAAAGCTAGCCGAGTGCTGCGCTTGCGATAGAGGTCGAGACCGGCATGCGTAATTTGAAAAATCGGGGCCAACCCGCGCTGCGCGAACATTAACGAACAAGGGGCGGTAAGGGGGGTGGGGGCAGGGGCATCGGTAGCGGTAGCAGTAAAGGCGGCAGCAGCGACAGTAACAGCAGTACAAGCAGCAGCACACTGAGGGAGTTTTGGCTTTTGATGAATTGCAGAGGAGACGGATTCGAACGCCGACCGCTACCGTGAAAGCGACCGTAGCAGCAATCTCTCGGACGTCAAAGCTGACATTCGCGCAGGCTCGAGCGTTAGTAATGCCGAGAGCGTGACTGCATTGGACAGCGAGGGAGAGGGTAGCACCCGGGGGGTGAACGCGCTCGCCCTGGCCGGACCCGTGCCTAACCCTATCTCCGGTTTCCGGTACAGCGCTGACTACACCGAGCCCTCCTTCCCGCCCAAGAGCAACGTAAGTCTCTCACTTCTCTCTCTCTCTCTCTCTCTCTCTCTCTCTCTCATTTCGGCTTTTCTTTATTTATTCCATCGCTTTACGCTTATTTTTCTTCGTTACCATTTCGTTTTAATGCCCCGCTTGTTTGTTTATTGGCAAATAAGCGAAAGAGCCTGGGATTTTGAAAGTATGCTCGTACTATACGCATTGCCGACGAGTTCGCTTCGGCCAATCGGATTGCACTTTTGTTTCATGCTTTTTGCCTTGGGGCCATCTCTGCTTCTGATAAACTAAAAGTGCTTCCGGAAATTTTTGACAGAAATGAGATATTTTAATGCACGACCGACTAGGTAAATCAGGCAGATGTTGCTCTTTTTATTTTTTACGAATAAGCCTGAACTCACTCGTTTCAACTATCGCATGTGATAATGATGATAGCAACATTTATTGTGCCGGATTTTCAACATTTATTCTATTTGACAAAGATTTACGTTGAAAATTCATTAGCATTACTGTAACTCTTCGAAAATGCACTTCTATTTTTATTAATATTTATTTATTTTTGTATTATTTTCTTTTTTATTTGTTTTATTTATTTTTTTATTTACTTTTATTTTTAATAAATGGCTTGATTTCCTTGCAAGTTATAATAAAATTTTTGCTAAGCTTAAAGAATAATAGAATTTTTAACAATATGACACCAATGCTATTGGAGTTTTATATTTCGTAAAATAAATCAATCGAATTAGAAATTCGGAATATCAAAAACTGGCCAATCAACGTTTCAAGTCCGCAAAATTAAAATTAATATACGAGAATTATACTTTATGAAATTTTTGACACTTGTTATTTCAATGAATAAAGATTGCCAGACATTTTCGACAAAAAAATGACTGGACGATTAACTTTTTAACATTATCTACAAATTCCTTTTACCTAATAAATATAAATAAGCGTATGTTCAAAATAAATAAGACCCCAAATTTGTGACAATAGAGATGAAAATGTAAAATGTTGAAAAGAAGCAATATTTACCAATAATCACAAAAATATGCAATAAACACACGCACGCGCGCACACACACGCACACACAGAGATTAAAAAAAGAATTTATACATTACTATCTTATAAAGAATGGAATAACAATCTATACTCTCTATTAAAATAAATTCCGCTTTTCCCATTGACTTGTGTACTTAATTACACGAATGGTCTAAGCTTGGATAATTGTTGATAAGAGACCTATAAAAACCTGTAAATAACCCATAGTAAATGGAATATTAATGATAATTAAAATCATATTAGAATTATACTGAAAAAAAAAAAAAAAAAAAAATACAAACGGACAATGCTATTTTCATTAAAGTAATACGTATTTTCACAGGATGTTTTTGTAATTACATTGAGCGACGAGATAGGCGCCGAAGATTAATTTCAAACTCTAATTTGATTCTAATCTATATTATAGATATGATTGATTTCTCGTATTTTCAAATAATTCTCGTATCCAATTATAATAGACTTTCTATTTAATTGTATTCTTTCCATGTTTCATAATCTTTACGTCATTCATTCATTAATAATTTATATATGCCCAAAATATTATAAATTTCATACGCTCTGCCTTATTTAAAAATTCCCATGTCTATATATAATTCGAAATTAATTTACATTGTTAGAAATTGTTAAATATTCACATATGCTTTATAAATATATCGATAAATGACAAGGCCATTTTCTTTCTCCTACATGATTATCCATTAGTTGGGCTCTGAAAAGCTAGCGATGTGTATTTTAATATTTCAATTCTAAAAGATAATAATGATTTCACCGCTTCTTCAAGCCCATCGTAACTATCCGCTTGGAAAATATCACTCGAACTGTCATTCATCCAAGATCTTCAATTATACTTTTAAATTTGTAAATATATGCACTTGCATTTTCAAAGTCTGAATTTTAAATTGCCTTAATTTGAAAGTCTAATTTATTTTGATTTTCCTGACTATAGCATTGATGAACAATGTCATACGCTCGATTCCAGCGCTTAATTTGTAGTGGCAACACCTTATTCAAATCATAAATAGTAATCACCGAATTTTATTTAAGCTAAATGCAATTTCAAGCACGCACGCAACCACGCGAGTATACCTACCTGTATGTAATAAAAATGTAACTTTACCAGTCGATAAAAATCGGAGCACAGTACCTTCATAATATAGATAATGCATTAGTTTGACAATTTGTGCGCGCTGAAATATAATTTTCAATACCTCATTTAATACCGAATAGAAACACGTTTGCCTAACATACCAATCGCGTACTTTAATAATCACCTGAGAAAATATATTTTTTGTCATTTTATTTATTCTTGCAATGCAATTACAAGATACTACAGTCTTATCGTGCATTTGGCCCGAAGGTATCGTTGTTTCTAATTTAAAATTCACGTCTGCTCAGACTTGCGCGACTTGTAATTGTCGACCTACACCGGCTCTCAACTATATCAATATTTCAACATTCAACATATACGACGCTCATAAGCACTCGCGCCTACTGTTTACTCGGCGCGTCTGCAATTCGCGTCTGCAATTCGTATATTTTTGAGCAGCCGTAAATTTCAAACTACTTCATTTCAATGGATTGCATGAAAAATTCAATGTCAATTTAAAATATTGAATTGGCAATGTGTCGTAAATGAATATTACATTTAAAAAAATGAATGATTAATAGACGTGGTTATGCTCGCATCTAATCCTTTAATATTTCAATAGGACCGTGCACCGACACCGTCAAACTCCACTCGTTTTTACCATCTTACAAGCGGCCGATACGCGCACACCGTTGAAGTACTTTCCCGTAGCACATCGTTCTCGACAAAAATGCCCAAAAAGAACACCAATGATCCCACTTAGACCAAGAATACAAAAATTCGCGTTGTGGAAAAACAATCTCGCTCGACAATATCACGCAGAGTCAAACAAAAGTGAATATGAGATGGTTGGGTGGGGAACGGGGAGTGGCAGAGGAATGATAGGGTGTGATCAGAGGCTTGACGAATGTAAACTACACTGGGACTGGGCCACTCACGTAATATATCCACGAGTAATTAAAATCGCCGGATAATAATGGTTTAACGCTCTCGACGAGCCATTTATCTTAAAAGTCGCTTGGTAATCAGTCGCTCAAGATCTAGGAAGGAGCACTTGGCAAGTCGACGAGCAATGGTGAAGGGGCAGTGGCCCGTGACGTTAGCGGGGGGCAAGCGCGGAGACCTTGACGGTCGAAGGCTTTCGTTTATTTCACCTGGACGAACGCTATCGGAGACCACGTGCTCGTTCGACGGTCGGAGAGGTGACGAGTCATTGCACGACTAGTCGCAAAAGCCGCGCAACTCGATCTCGCCACTCGCACGGCCAGGGTTAACTGCTCGGGCGGCTCGCGGCTGCGTACGGTTAGTTGATTGGATGAGGAGGCGGACGTGGGTGACGGTGACGGTGATTGGGGTGATGGGAAGAAAGATACGATAGTCAAACTCCAACGAGGCAATCCCAAGGCTCGAATTGGAGACGACGATTTTCTCTGATAAAGTGCCCCCTCCCCTCCTCTACCCGGCACGCCCCCTCCACCCTCACTCACCCTGTCTACGTGCCCAAGTTTTAATGCAACGAACGATGTTTCACAGGACGGCAGCAACAACAACGGCTACGTGCCCTACGTGGATTACACGCGCGACTACATGCCGCCCTCGACCCAAGGAATGGGGGCGTCTCGCGAGTCCCTCAGCAGAATCCCGTCCAGCGGCATCCTCGGATCGAAGAAGATCGGCCTGAGCTCGGCCAATTTGGGTGGGACACCGCCCCAGACAACCCCAATTATAGATCCCCGATTCTCGGCCACTTACGGCAATCCTTACCTCAGGTAAGAAAGTGGGGTGAGGCGCTTAGGCCGTGGGCACGATCGGGCTTATCCCGTTCTTAGAATCGGGCGGGGGGGGGGCAAATTTTCTCAGCGGCCGCTGATCGAATCGCGCGACGATGACGACGACGACGACGACGACGACGACGACGACGACGACGACGACGACGACGACGACGATGACGATTACTAGAGCGGATTAACGAACCGCTGGCTCAACCCTCGCGCCTCTAGATATTGCCCGGTAATTTCTTTCCGCGACTAAGGAGACTCCCTGCACGAGTACTCGATTAAATTCCAAACCTCCCCGCCCTTGGCTGGCTTCCCCTTCCGCAATCTCCCCCAACGCTGTCCCTTCTATTTCCTCGGATCCCTCGCTCTTCCATGCTGCGTTTATTCCTTGTTCTCCGCTCTCACCGCCCGACCGTCAGCCACTTTTGGCCTTTCGTGCTTTTGAATAATCGGCGCGCACTACTGGCGCAAACACCTCGAACGCGATTAACTTTTGGACGTTCTTGTGTGAAACTGCAGAATGTCCGCGGCGGAGCAGCTGCGACACGCGCCCCACACGGCCATACCAGGGGTGACGCCGGCGCCGCCGCCCTACACTCAAGCCATGCGAATGAATAACCTCAACACGCTGAACGGAGCCGGGCCCCAGGTAATTTTCAGTCATCAATTATTATCGTCCCATTCCCATACTCAACATCTACCCTCCGCACTTGCCTTTGCGATCCCTACCTCGCGCTCTTTATTTCTCATTTCTCTTTTCTCTTCTTCTTTTTCTTTGGCCCCCCTCCCCCCGCCGCAATTTCGCCTTTCCATACGCAACCACAGATGAAGAGGTCACCGACAGAGAGGGGGGGGGGGAGAAGGGAGGGGAGGAGAAGCAGACGGTGATGAATACTTTTTTAATTGGCGCCGATGTACGGCCAAGATGAATAGGCTACTTTCTCGAATTTTTCTGATTTGATTTTAAAATTGAGCAGGTGAATGGCTCGAGACTCACACACGTGCTTCCGTCTGTCTGGCTATACGAATGTGTGTGTACGTGCTCGAGCATTCTAGATAATTCTCCGAGATAACAAAGGGGGGGGGGGCAAAAAGAAGATAAACCGCTTGGCTAATAAATGATACGTTAACGGGCTAATTAATGACCTTCTCGTCTTGAATTTTGGTACGTCCACGCGCGAGAGAAGAACACTTTTGAGAGCTTATGAATTTTACGTTATTAAATTGTATCCCATAACTAAGAAAATGTCAATTTTACGACTGCGAGGGTGAAAAATATTTCGGCTCAAAATGTGGGTTAATGCTCGAGCGTGCGCTTCGCTACAAATTATATCGAGAAGAAAATTTATTTATTTTTTTCTGAGCCACGGATAACGATTTGGGAACTTTCGTAAGTCTACTGTATTCTCAAAAATATCTTCTACCTTTCACCAATATTCTTCAATGTCCTGTAACTTGTTTACCACTTTGCACACGCGAACGTGTAAAAACCGTATGATGCGGTTAAATTCTAACTTTTACAATTCCGACACAAGGATAAATCAACGCGCTCAGTCGTACAAATATTTCTTATTCGAGGCTTCTTCATTTACATCGGGTTATGCCTTTGTCCGTCTTCTTGTCGCCATATACAGCATAATTTTTTGTATGTCAGACAAGAGAGAAAGTGGTGTTTTTGCGACGGGAGGGGGAAGGATTGGGAGTAGTGGAGCGGCGGGGCGATGAGTGGGGCGGTACAAGAAAAAAACGGATGAAAAAAATTGAGAACTCAAGAAGCCATAAAAGTACCGTAGGATAGGCGTATCTTGCAGAAGGATAAAATTTCACAGTCAACTCCAAGTTTTACCCATATTGTTAATATCGCACCTATCCTTTGGCTCTCGAGCAGTGCATATGTGCGCGTCTTTCGAGTTTATAATATTTAAAGAAGCATTTACTAGATTGAGTAATAAATATAAGAGAGGATAGAATATCGCCTCAAAAATGCGTGCTTTTTTCTTCTCTTCTCCGGTTTCCGTTCCCATTCACCTACCTCGCACGCTCTCGCGCTCCCATCTTGCGCGTTACAATATTTATCGCACGCTGCGGCGAGGCGTGCAAACACAAATTCAGTTTACGATTTGCGACACCCCCCCCCTCCCCCGGGCATTCCCAAACACCGAGACGTCGAGTAAAAAAAGGAGATCTCTCTCCCTCTCCCTCTTTCATCCACTCTTTTTTTACTCGATTGGGCGTCCCCTTCGAGTTGCCTCCCAATCACTCAGCACGAGTCCGAGAAATCCTCCTCGCACCTCGACCTTCCGCGTGGACACCTTCGTCTCCTCCTTCTACTCCGCCCATCCACCCATCTCCCCTCCATCGTTATCCGTCACCTCCATCAGCCAGACTCCCACGACCCAAGTCCCACGGACCGCAGGCTCCGACCTCGAAATCAAATCTCGCACCTGGGGTGAGCACCTGCGAAGCCCCGAGGTGGAGAGAGGGAGTTTTAGCAACCGCATTAACCTCCTTAACGTCAACTGCAGGCTTTATGCGTGCAGGCGCCGCTCTCAGCCCACTACATAACCGGCGGCCCGAATGGCGGCGTCGCCACGGTGAAGAGGACCACCGCAGCAGCGGCCAGTGCCCTGGCGACGCACGTATGAGACCGGCCGTCATCCAAGCGGAACTAGAGCTACGAGAGCATCGGTGCCGGGAGAAGGGAGCCGGCCCTCGGTCAGGTCGAGCGAGTCCTCAAGCAGTTGAGGTGGGCGAGCCGCGACCATCGGCGCCTACTCCTCGAGCGACTTGAGCTCGGGGACCTCGCGGACCTCGGTGACACCGACTCGGACGGCCAGCCGAAGCAGTAGCCACGACACCGCGAGCCAAGCCGTGCTCGCGCACTCCCCATCTATAAATACCATATATATATAAACACATGCATAAAGACATTTATAAGCGCGCGCCTACGCGCATATATAAATATATAAATATGAATATGACGATATATTATAGCGGGGCACCGTCGAGCGCGACGGTCTCCATCTACATACTTGTGCGCCCGTGTTTGTCTCTCTTTCTCTCTCTCTCTCTCTCTCTCTCTCTCTCTCTCTCTCTCTCTCTCTCTCTCTCTCTCTCTCTCTCTCTCTCTCTCTCTCTCTCTCTCTCTCTCTCTCTCTCTCTCTCTCTCTCTCTCTCTCTCTCTCTCTCTCTCTCTCTCTCTCTCTCTCTCTCTCTCTCTCTCTCTCTCTCTCTCTCTCTCTCTCTCTCTCTCTCTCTCTCTCTCTCTCTCTCTCTCTCTCTCTCTCTCTCTCTCTCTCTCTCTCTCTCTCTCTCTCTCTCTCTCTCTCTCTCTCTCTCTCTCTCTCTCTCTCTCTCTCTCTCTCTCTCTCTCTCTCTCTCTCTCTCTCTCTCTCTCTCTCTATATATATATATATATATATATATGTGTGTGTGTGTGTGTGTGTGTGTGTGTGTATGTGTGTGTACGCGCGCATCAGTGTGTATGAGCGCGCGTGTTGACGAGTCTTCCTCCGGCGAAAGGGACATGGATGAAGTGAGCGAACGAGTGCTTTTCAGTTTTCTATTATATGCACACATTGACATGTGCGTGTATATAAATAGCGAGGGATCTTTTATACGCAGAGGCTTTCTTCGCTGAGGCCACACATCACGGTATTGACAATCTTTTATCGGCGTACTCGTCTTATTCGTAAGATCTCGTTAAGGTATTTAAGTAGATATTCCGATCCTCGGTTCCTCGGCACTTGTACAGTGGCTCCCGCCGACCGAGCGCTCGACCGGATTATTATACCCCCTTAATTTCGCCATTCTTTACCTTCTTCCGTCCTCTCCTCGTCACTCCTCACCATCGCAACAACCCACCCACTCGCCCACTCTCAGACGCCCATTATGCAGAGGAGCCCGTCAGTAATTACCACGGCGCTCGGTAGCCGAGGTCGCCCTGACCGTGTTATTCCACTTGCGGCTTACGTAAGCTATTAGAGGATGAAAAATGTCGGAGTCATTTGTTCGATTTCTATTGCGGCACTTCTTTACTTGTGACCCGCGAGTAAATTGAAACGATGACTTGAAATCGTAGCTTCTTTAGCGTGCGCCTCCACCTTCGAGCGGACGGAAAATATTAAAAGTTGCCCGAGAAAGGAGAATATTAGACGTTAATGAGTTTTAGCTCGCGGTGAACTATGGGATTAGGAAGCGCCTAGGGGTATAAAAAATATACTATCTGGAATGCTAGTCGCTGCGTTTAATTACGTAAGCGCAGTTCACGTATCTGAGTGCTGCTGTGCTTGCGGGTGCAAAGGTCAATTTGCATTAGAAAGTTTGATAAGCTAAAACGCTACTGCTTACTTGGTATTCTCCTTTGGGCGATCGGGGCTCACGAGTTTCGCGATACGAATTACTGAAGAAAAAACGTGGCGATTGCCGCTGCATTTATCTATCCTTTTCCCTCGTCAAAGAATGCGATTAGTCATTGCGCCGTGACAGACATCCGGCGAGCGTAATTGACGGGGTAAGAGAGCGAGACGGAAAATATACTCATCGCAAGCGTTCAGCGGCTGTTTTCATGATAATTATTGTGGCGCTCAGGTCGCACGCCGTGTATAAAGGTAAAGCGAATGGAGAGGAGCAAAAAAGAAGAAGGAGAAGAATCTCAGTAGCTTCAACGTCAGCGAACCATTGAAAATGGTCTGCCGACGGAGTAAGTTTCCACTTGGCCTGAAACGTATTATTCCACGAGATAGAAAACGGGAAAAAAAAAGAGATAAACAAAGGATCAGACGTGGATGTCCCTCATTACTTCTGCATCGAATTTTTTTTTCTCCTCCTTTATGCATCTACAATTTTGTTTTACAAAGTCTTGTATTGAAAAAGCGTCACGGTAAAACATTTTTTATGTTTACGTGCAAAACCTTTGGTGCACCACTAATTACCGAGTACCTTGAGATAAAAATTCTACCGATCAACGAAAGGCAGAAATTTGCAGTATACATGCGCAATGTATACGAAAAAGACTCGACTCATAAAGTATGCATAAATTCACATTTGAATTTTTTCTCTCGTGATAAATATACAATTGAAATATATCAAGATTAAAAACAAAATTAAAAAAAAAAAAAAAAAAAAAAACTAAAAAAAAATACGAAAAGATCGCTTTATTTCTTCGTATTAATTCAGAAAATTTAATCATTTAATAAGAGGTACTCGATTATATGTATAATTTATTGAGTGTTTCGTACTTGTGCGCGTATACGAATCTTTCATATTTCCGTGTGTAATCTCGTGCAATAACTAATATACGCGATATAAACAAAAAATTTTTATTCAAAAGCTGCCCACGTCTGTATGTAATACAAGCTACATGGACACGCAAGGTTCCGACATATCGATTGCGTTTGTAAATTATTTAAAGTTAAAAAAAAACGATGAAATTATTACTATATATATACGCACACACTCACACACATAATAAATAGTGAAAAATTAAAATATACGTCTGTTGTCAACGTGAAAATTAAAGCCTGCGAATATGTATCTAATATGTGTGTGCGCGCGCGCGTGCGTGCGTGCCCCTGTGGGTGGGTGGGTGGGTGGGTGGATGGGTGTGTGCGTATGCGCGTGCATATTTATGCATGTATAGAGTTCTATATTATGAGTGGGTGAGTAGGTGTGGCGGATATATGTATGTTTGTTTGTGTAAATATGAATGCGTGTGAGAATATGTGTGCATGTGCGTACGTATGTGATGCGTATACGAATTCTATTTGAAATAGGCGTTTTGCTTCAAAATTATGGTGGATCGTGTTGCTGTAAATATATGTCGGCGTTTATTTCAGCGCGGAGAGCGAAAATTATGAATTTGCATAAAAAAAAAATTTCCAAGATTACGATCGTGCTACGTGTAAAAACTACTTTTCTGTTTTACTTCTTAAAAAAAAAAAAAAATAATAATAATAAATAAAAATAAACAGAGATTTATTGCATTGTTGTACAAAGTTACGTTGCCTATATCGTCGTTTGTGGGCTGCGACATCTTATCTGTTGTCTTGATTATAAATTTTTTTGATAAATCTTTTGAAGTTTGTATATGTCCATTATGGGTGTAGAAAAAAATATTGAAAAGAAAAAAAAAAGAAAAAAAAATAGAGCAAGAATCTTATCTTCCGCGTACTGTTCCTTCGGCAAATAAGGGTCTTAAAAGTCCTGAACAATACTGAAATGTGCATGCGTTAATTTTCCTACCCTATTGTTACATATATTAAAGGTATTTCGCTTGAAGAGAAATTTTGATCGTTAAATCTTATAAGTAGTCGTCAGAATTAAAGAAATATTTATCGTTATTATTATTGGCGAAGCCTCAGGCGCCGTCAAGTTTTCGACACGACACATCGCCAGCAGCACAACTCAAATCCTATAACCTCATTTCCCAAAGCTCCGCGACGCTCCAAAACTTGTGAATTATTATTGTCACGGCAATGAAAATGTCGGAAAATTAGATACAGAACGTTTTTGATACAGCAGATTATTGATTTCTAGCCTTCAGCTCGGATGGAGGGAGAGAAACAAACGCTCGCGTAGTCGTTTATATTCAGTTTGAAAACGAACAGCACTAAAATGGTAAAAAGTTTTTATGGGATTCCGTGTACAGCGAAAAATAATTAATATTGATAACGAAACAGGGTAGCCTATCAATTCTTTAACGCAAAAAAGTGAGATGAGAAGGAGCCTAAAGCCACAAAGGCTCTTTACTATTAAACGGCAGAAGCGAAAGCATGAAAGAAACAATCGCGCCACTGTCATTATTGTTATCGATAGATATTTGTCGGTGATATAGCATTGATATGTGCCTATCACGTTCGAAAGGAATAAAAATAAAAAGTATAACGGGTAGAGGTAACCGGCGATGGAGGATAAGGGGCGATTGGGTGGAGGGGGGGGGGGGCAGCTGAAGCGTGCAATTATGAAAATATCGTTTTGTGTGCAGGCTGATCTATCAAACGGCGATAAAAAAAAAATACGTGTACATATAGGAAAAAGAATTTTAAATAAAATACGCGATTGCAACAAAACCAAGGCAAAGTATTGTAATTTATATACAGAGTCCTGTATAGAGATAGTATTTGTGTATATAAGCAAAGAGAAAGGGATAAATATAAGAGAAAAATATTATGGCTCACGGTCTTTTTTCCCCGAGTAAATAAGTTTAATTAATTTTTTGAATAACAATTACGAATCGCTATTAGCGTGCGCGCACATCATTCGACCTTTGACGTCTATCGAGTTCGCCAATCTTCTTCTATCGCACATTTTTCATTTTTATTGAATAAACCAGTTCTATTTAAATCGGCTAATGTGAAATACATCGAGCCGGACATAGAGATGCTGTAGAATATGAAAAAAGCTAAGCTCGATAATTTAATCGATTCGTTTAAGTGATATTAAAGCTTTTAAAGCTTTGATGAGCATCGATTTTCATGGTATGTACAATATTAGCGTGAATTTACCTCCAACGAAGTTTAAATCATAAACATTTCGTAGCGTTAAACGTCCGAAGAAAAGAGAAACGTGTGTAATTGAGTTCTAATGACGACAACACACGAGCTGATTTGTATCTAAAAATTGTGTACAGTGAATAAGGGAACGATATTTTATACCGTTATCTACTTAAAACTTTGTCGTACTTTTTAATTCAATGAAAAGATTAAACGTGCAACGATAAGGACGCGTGTGCACGGTGTCGCGATTGGCGTACATGTACGCAATTACATACGCACACGTTTGCTCGGCATATAGCGAGACGAGGATTCGCGCTTAAAGCAAAAAAAAAAAAAAAAACAAAAAACAGCCGTTGTACAGGTGTCGAAGAAGGTGTATAAATACAGTGTGTCATTGTAAAGAATGAGAAAAAATAATATCTAATACCGCGCCATTATCATGCGAAAGTGTTTGCCACTCCTTTTCTTACTTGGCACGCGCAGAGTATCTGTAAATATGCATATAATAATAATATGTTCGTACCTTGGTACTGTTATACAGAATACTTTATGAGAGAATAATAGAGCATATTATTGAACGATAAATTAAT